CTGCCTTGAACCTGATTTCCCAGGTGTCCATCCAGCCCCGGGACCACCTACTCTGTTCACAAGCTGGAGAATCACAACTGAGTCATGGTCACAACAGAGGAGAGCTGAGCCCATCTTAGTGGGTGGGACCCAGGCAGACCCCCCACAGGGATACTGACATCTCCTGGCTCCTCCAACACACCTCAGATGGGGGCCCTGATTTCCACACAAGCTCTTATCTTGGGCTGGGGGCGTACCCACCTGGAAGGGGATTTGCAGGTTAATCGTCTCTCCCACCTGACGGATGTAGGTCTGACGAAGGTGGCGGGGGACACGGATCTTGGGAGCCTCTGCATTAAAGAGAAAGGCTAGGCTTAGCACAGCAGGGGGAGCTGCGGACTGGAGGCTTCCCGGCAGGGGTAAGGGACAACTGCTGAGGCTGCTGGCTGGGTGGGAGGGCGCCCGGTTGTGCCCCGAGGCTGCCTCCTTGTGGGAAGGGCCAAGCTCACTCCTGAGATCCAGGGGCCCAGATACCCTAAGGCCCTTGGGGACTTGAGAGCCAGGAGGTTCCGGGAGGGCAGGGCCTCCATGGTGTGAACCGGTAGGCATCCCGGGCACTCCCTTGGTGCCCCGACCCTGCCAGCCTGGGATTTGCCCCTGCGGCCCAGGCATTCCTGGGCTCCAGCTGGGCCCCGGCTGGCTCCCTGGCTCCACCTAGCGGGGAGCAGATGCTGCACCTGTCAGCCTGCATTCCCGGGGAGGGTGGCAAGGCTGTCTTCTTCCTACCCCTCTGCCCGCCTGGCCCACACCAGGCCCAGGCCTTCAAGAAGCCCCTGGGAGACCCATTTGCCCATTGCTCTGGCTCCAGGCCATATGGCGGTTGCACCTGCCTAGGTGATGATCAGGGAGGTAGCTCTCTACCCTAGCATGGGGCTGAAGTGAGGTGTCAGGGAGGACTTCCCAACTGCAAGACTGAAAGGTAGTGGAAAGGGGGACAGGAGGAGGGGGGTATGTCTGCTCTGGCTTCACTTAGGCAAGGAGAGCCCCCAATCCTCCCGAGGCTGCTGGGTGTTCCAAGGGAAGGGGCCAGAGTGCCTGCACTGTCCCCTGGGCGGGGGCGGGGTAGTGGCGGCTGAGGCTCTTCAGTGGCAAACAGGTGGCAGCAGTTGGTCAGTGGCACGCCGGGCGGAGAGGGAGGAGACAGTGAGAAGGAACACTGTGTCTCTGAGGATTAGCTGGGCAGGCACTTGGCCCTGGGAGCATGGGGTGTGGAATGTTCCAGGGGCAGCTGCGGGGGGCCAGGAATGCTTGGTAGCTCCAGGTGGCTGGGGAGGGACAGCTGAGCAGCCGAGGATTCTGGACAGGGTCCCCACCCTGCCCTGCCCTGAGGAGGGCCTGGCTGCTCCCTGCGTATTCTCGGCCTCCTCCCCATCTTCTCTCCAGGAAGGCTCCTTCTGTCCTGCCAGAGGAATTTTAACAGAGTAGTGGGTGCTGAGTCTGGCTGGCTCCTCCAGTGTGAGGCCTTGAAGCAGAGGCTGGCGCCTGCAGCCTCTCAGAGCCTGAGCTCTCTGCACCCAGGGAAGGTCCAGGATGCCTCCCTCACCAGGAGGACTTCCTGGCGCCTCCAGGCAAGAGTCAATGTGTCCATGTTGAGCTGCCAGGTGGGGCCACTTCTCACCCAGACTCAAAGGATGGGACTGTCCCTCTGGTTCTGAAAACCCCCAGAGAAGACACCCCGTCGCCTGGTGGGACATGGACAGTCCTGTGTGGGAGTCAGGTCCTGGGACTGCCGCTAATAGGCTGGGTGACCTCAAGGAGGTCTCGGGGCGCCTTGGGACCTGCCTGGCTTGGACGGCTGAGCCATGACAGTCTACACATCTAAGATCCTAGCCCCGTGGCTCCCACATCTCTCAGGCCTTAGAGTTGAAAAGTATTTCCTTGAATCCAAACTTGACCCCTTCGGTGGCCATGAAACCCCTTTTACTAGAGGCCTTGTCTGGAACTATGAGGTCCCCCTCTGGGGGCTGAGAAGGGGGAACAAGAAGGAAGGCGAAGAAGACCTCAGGCCACCTGCTGGCCTGTGTCTCTCTTCACCCTGGGGCTCTGGGCTGTCCCCAGAGACCTCGGATCAGCCCAAATGACTCATTGCCATTAACAGGCTGAAACCTGATCAGTCCTGGGAGGGGAGCAAAGGCAGGCGTGAGGCTAACGCACCCTACAAATAGAAATCTTAGCAAGGGGACAGCAGCTGGTTCCCAGAGCGGCGCTGGCCTCTGGGGATGGAGAAACCTTCACGAGCTTTTGCAGGAATTTGCCTTCCTCCCACCAGGGACATGGGGCAACAGGAGGCAAGCAAAGACTTCTCTCTGTTCCAAACCTTGCAGAGAATCTGGAAGCCAGGCCACGTGAGATGAGCAGAAAATGGGCTGCCATGGCCGCTGGAGGGATTAAGATCAGATGGGAGGAAGCACGGAATGACTCCAAGCATTGGGCCTGAGGCAGGTGACCTGGGGGGCTTGAGCTTTCATTCTGGGGGGGGGTCAGGAAGCCCCTCCCCACTGTTCTGGGGGCTGGGCCACTCAGGAAAGTGGCCTCTTTGACGTCCAGAGGCCCCTTGCTGCTGAGGAACCTGGACTTTCCTTAAGGCAAGATGCAGATAGCAAGGTGCCATGTTCACCTGAGTGTGGGACGGGGGACGACCACCCTGTTCGTTCTGCCCTTTGGCTTCCGTTTCTCCATCCATTAGATAAAGTGCCTGAGGAGGGCTGGGGAGCGGGAGGTGAAGGGACAGGCTTTACCGATGGTCTCTTGGATGTGGACAGGCTGGTCCAGCACAGCTGGTGGGCCAGACCCTGCAGAGTTCACCGCAGCCACACGCACGAAGAACTTGTCACCCAGAGCCAGGTTCCGCACGGTCTGCTGGGTCACCATCATGGGCCGGGCATTCACAGGCACCCACTCCGAGGCTGAGGGAAATGAAGAGAGAACGCGTCCGTGGCCCCATGGCCGGAGGCGACCTTCTCAGCGGGGCTTCCCTGCTCGCTGGTGATCTGAGGAAGCTGACCTCCTTTTCTGGGTTTTATTTCCCCCTTGCTCTTCCTCCCTGACTTCTCATTGTCAAATGGCATCAAAGACATCTGATGTTTGAGCCCTTGAGCAGTGGGCAGAGATGGGGTTGCTGAAGCCCAGAGAGGGTTGGACACATTTGCCAAGTCACACAGCAAGGTAGAGGCAAAGGCAGAGGCCAGGCTGAATTGGCTGCCATGGCGGTGGACCACAGGACAGTGGCATCAGGAATTTGGCCAGAGTCCCCGTCCTCTATTTCTCTTCACTGTCTCTTGCTCTGACTTACCCGCCACCCCCCCCCAGCTTCCTGGCTGTCCTGGAGCTGGAGGACAACGGGCCTCCTGAGGTCGCTTGGACACCCCCCTTTTCTCGGAGGTGCACTGGTGGAGCGAGAAGCTGGGGTGAGTGGGTTGAGGGGACTGCTTCCACCTCCTCTTTCTGTTTGTCCCCTCGGACTGAGCCAACTGCAGGGTCTGAGGGCTTGTCCCTGCCACCGTGCAAGCTCCCCTCCCCTCCCCCCCATGTATATGCAGGGCTCAGCCCAGGGCTCACCTCCCTCTCGGCGGAGCTCCAGCACGTAGCCCTGGAACCCCAGCTTCCCTAGCCTCTCGGGGGGCTCCCAGCTCACAGCCACCGAGCTCTCGCTCACATCCTCCACGGCCAGCAGCAGCGGGGCACTGGGGACATCTGAGGGAGAAGCAGCGGGAGGTGAAGTTCAGGGTCCATGGTGCAAAGCTCTAACCCGCCACTCCCTGCCGTGCCCACCTCCCTCCTCCACCTGCCCTGCCTCTTGTCACCTTCACTCGGAGGGGCAGGTTTAGTGGCTGCGGGGGCAGGTGCCTGAGGGGCAGGCTCCTGTGGCTTGGGAGCCTGGTCTCCCCCAGGAGACTCCGGTGCTGCCACCTTTCCAGAGGGCTCTGGGGGGCCCACATCTGCAGACTCAGAGGCGGTCTCCCCTGGACCACGGGTGGGGGCCTCCGAGGTGGCTTTTCCTGTCATTCTGGGCTGGGGGGGTCAGGCTGGAGAGTGCAGGGATTAGCCGCGGAGGGTCTGTGCTGCCAGGGCGCCGGGACACCTAGGTCCAGGCTTATATAGGCAGGGGACTGCCCCACCCTCCCAAGCAAATGATTCCCAGCTGTGCGGTCAGGTCAGGCAGGGGGACTGGGGGGGCAGGGAGGCGCCTCCGAAGCCAGGAATAGCTCTAGGGGAGGAACTGCAAGGGTCCCTTGAGGAGCATGCAACCTCGTCCATCACCCTGACTGCATCTCAGCAGCCAGGGTTCTGGTGCCCAGATGGGAGGAGGGACAGACGGGCGAGATGGGACATTGCCGGGAACCTGTGCCAGGGCTCAGAGCTTCCATCTGGAGAGTAAGCCCGGACCAGGCTGCGTGTTTGGTCTTTGTGAGGCCCAGGGCTTTTCAGCTTGGGTGGTGGGGTCCAGACAGCCTGAAACGGCCTTCCCTGGGGAGCACTCCCAGCTCCGTCCCTGAGGTCCCACCATCCCCTGGTCCTCACATTCCCTGGGGATTCTCACTTGTGCTGTATGAGGTTGAGGGCCCTAGGGAGAGAGTGAATTGGGCTGCCCAAGATGGGGTTGGTTGGAGAAGGTCTTCCAGCAATGGGACTCCAGGGAGGGCATCGAAGACCCCTGTTTACCCAGCTTCCGCAGTCCCTGCTCCGGCCTCAGTTTCCCCATCTGTTACAGAGAGCACTGCCACAGTCCCCTCGTCCTTGGGGGTCAGATAAAGTCATAAGGCAGAGCTGAAAGAGGCTTTGGAGGAGGATATCTCTCTGAGACGTTTAGACTCTTTGAAGTGAGACATGGTACGAATATTTGCATGCCATGGGGGAAATGAGGCAGATCCAACCAAACTTCTAGCCTTTGATTCATTCGTCCAATAAAACATTCAGATTGGTAATGACTGAATAAGTCTGAAAATAACATGTGTCAGGGAAGGGGGAAGTCAACAAGAACTCTCGTGGCTGGTGGGAACATCGACTGGAGAAATCTCTTTGGAAAAAGTGAGACAGTATCTGGTCAAGTTAAAAATGTGCAAATGCTATGACCCAGCACTTACACCCCCAGAAACACTCCCCGCTGTGCCCCAGGCGACGTGCTTGCCAGCATTCACCGCAGTGGCGTTTGTAACAGCCGGATATGGAGAACACAGCTCTCCGTCCCCAGGGGATAGTGAATAACCGTGGGGTATATACGCACCTATAAACCAAAAATGGAATAAAAGGGACAAGCTTCAGCGGCACAGATGATCCAAAAGGCAACGCTGAGCGAAAGGAGGCGGTGGGGTCTCTCATTCGTGTTCAATTCAAACGTGGGCAACACCAGCTCTCTTCTTCCAGGGGCATCTCCAGGTGGCGGGACCACAGAAGGCGGGGAAAGTCGGGACAGTGCTTGTCTCCTGGCGGAGGGCCAGGGATGTACGTGACTGTGGAGTTTGGGGGGCACTAGTGAGGTCTCATTTCCTGTCCTGGGGGGTGGGTGGTGGCTACACAGGCTTTCACTATACAGTAATTCTTTAAATTAAACAAATACATTTTATGCACACTTTAGCATGCATGACATATCCCACAATTTAAAAATAAATACATGTGTAATCTATTTAGGGCTCACATGCTCACCCTCCCCCTTCCCAGGGGGCCAGGGGCACCACAGCGAGGCCACCTCTCATCCTAACTGTCCTTGTTAGGGAGAGGCAGTGGAAGGCCTGGGGAGCCTCCAGATCCTGCCCTGCTTGGGTGCTGTGCCCTCTGCTGTGTGACTCAGTGTCCTGCCGGGCAAGGGCCGGCCCTGGAGACCCGATCCCCATCCCTGGCCTCTGACTCTGCAGCTATAAGTGACTGTGACTAAGTCTGCAGGACCCTGAGTCAGCCCTGCAGAACCTGTCCCAGGAGGATGGGGGAAGGGTGGCCAGGGGAGGCGCGATGTGGGTTGGCTGCCCTGGAGGACTCACAGCCCCTGGGGTTTTAAGCAAAGACCCCTGTGTGGTGAGGTGGGGAGGAGACTCTTGGTCCACTGGCCAGCAGCGAAATGCCAGGTACGCCCCTGAGGCTCTGGCCAAGTTCTCGCTCTCTTTGCCTTTAGCAGGGTTGTGACCTTGGGATCAGCTGCATCTGCCGAGCTCCAGCTGGTTCAGATTTCAGGGTCGCCAATAGGTATTTCCTTCCCCACACCTCAAACTAGTGTCACAAACCATTAGGCCAAGGCACAGATAATCCAAACACCAGGGAATCCACAATAAATTCTCTTTGGGTTTGGAGTGTGCACCTGGACTCGCTTTGGATACACGGCATGTCCGGGGCTCTGGGAATTCACAGGGACTGGTGAGAACAACTCCACTCCATCAAGGCTGGAAGGTGGGCTGGTCTTCTGAGCCCATCCGTGAGATCCGTCTCATCCCGTCTGCCCTCCACCTCCTGTCCCAGGCTGAGCCAAGGAGCCCGGGTCTCTGCATGGGCTGAGGGGGGCTAAGTGTGTTCGGAGATGGGGGAGACGGAGGGCTGGGCCGCAGCCCTAGGACATCTGACAGAAGCCAGCCCAGCAGTGGGAAGGGCTCCTTTAAGGCAGTGGGCTCCTGGTCACCGGGGGTGTCGGGGGAGGGGCTGGAAGGCCACCTCTCAGGGCCCTGCAGAGACTCCAGGCCTGGGATGGAGGGAGGGCGTGTGAGAAATTGGTGTCTCCTTCTAGCCCTGAGAGTCCAGGGCAGGGCTCTCTCACCTGGCCCCTGTTGGCTCTTACAGCTGCTCAGGGTGAGAGGAGATGAAGGGCTGGGATTAAAGGGCTCCCTCCCTCGTGCCTGCTGGCCTTCTGGAAACACAAAAGGCTTCTTTCAGCAAGTGACTGCGTCGTGAAGTCTGGACAACAATGACCTTTAAGATCTGAAGGCTACCAGCCCTCTTGGGTTAAGTCCACGGCAGATGGATCTGGGGGTGTGGGCCTCCTCTGGGGACTCCCTGGGGTCTGGCAGAGGACAAGGTGGCTTCACCTTCTGCAGCTCAGGGCTTCCAAGCCTGAGAGGGGGGAATCCAGAAGAGATGTGGGCGGTGAGCCCAGCGGACCCACAAGAGACTGAATCAAACGTCAACACGCTGGTGAGCTGTGGTGCTTTACTGAGCAGCTGCAGAGTGAGGAAGGGGAAGCGGGACGGGGCAGGATCGTGTTCCTGGGGACGCGTCAAGTCGGGCTTTGCAGAGTATAGTCAGTGTGGCCACTGCTTCTTGTAAGATGCTTGGCTCTGGGGTGGTAGGGCTTGCCCAAACGGTGTCCCGAGGCAAGGGGGCCTGGGGGTGAGGGGATTGAAACAACTCCCCTTGCGTGGGGCGTGGAGCCACTGAGCAGTCTCACTGATCAGCAGGTATGCCGGCCCCACAGCCCCACCCCTACCTGCCTGTCCACCAGAGCAGGGCTCAGAAGGGATGGCTGTGGCCCTCCGCACGGGCCCACGAGAGGGGACTCAGCAGGGCAGGAGATCAGGCTTCTGGCCAGTCAGAGCCAAGCCGCGAGGGGCGCCCCGGCCCCACCGTGCGCTGCAGGACAGAAGGCTAAGCCGCTGCAAGTGCATCCTTGATGGCACTGGTGAGAGGGAAGTGCAGGTTCCGGCCACAGAAGGTGCCCTGGAAGTCGTCCAGGTCCAGGGCCCACACCATGGCGCCAGCCAGCTTCCTGCTCTTCAGGTACTTTGCCTGGTGGGGGGACCCAGAGGGGCAAGGCTGGGTTCCCTGGGCCACGGTCTGCATGGGGTGGGGGGCATGCTCTCTGGACGCCTCCCCAGGGGAGAGCAGAGCAGGTGCCTGAGACCCCAAATGCCCCTGTAACCCAGGCCTGCCCTCAGAGTGGGGGCTTCCCTCCCCCTTTTCATCCCCGGGGTGAGGTCTCGGGAACGCACCTTGTTTTTGACGCTCTCCTCGTCATCATAACCCACCCACTGGTTGCCCTTGGTGGCATAGGGGACCTGCTGGTCCAGGAGTCTCTGGACCGTGGCACCGTGGAGGAAGTCACAGATCTGAGAAGAGAACAGGGCAGGGGTGGTGTGGGGAGTGGTGCTGAGACTTTCAGGTCACTGGGGGATGCCGCTCCCCAGGTCTCTTTCAGCCCCTTGCTGCAGCTTGGAGGCCACATCTGCCCCTGGAAACTGTAGGCTTTGTGTAACTTTCCTTAAAACACGCAGATATCCCAGGGTTCCTTGACTGCTGTACCCTGAAGGCATTAAGGGGGCTGGACAGATGCAGGAAATGGAGGGTTGACACTGAGGACTGGCCCAAGGCAGCACGGAGTAGCAGAGGCTGGGCTGACGCAAAAAAACCCTCCTCCTCGACATGGTTCTGCCCTGGGCTGGAAGGCAAGGTCCACTGGAACTGTTTTTCATTCCCAAAAGAGTAAAAGTAGGGACAGGGTGGGAGGCTCACCTTCCCCGGGACTGCGGGTGCTGTGGGAACATTGACCTACTCCCCAGCTCATACCTCATAGTAGGCGAGCATCCCTTCTTCCTTGGTGAACCGGCCTGGTGCTCCCGGCCCCGAGATCGGGGCTCCCACATCTGTCTTGGAAGAGGCCAGGGTGAAGGTCCTCCCAAAGGTGGGGATGCCCATCACCAGCTTATCCGCCGGGGCCCCCAGCCTCAGCACGTAGCTCACGGCGTAGTCCTGGGTGTGGGTGGGGCAGGACGGGTCGGGCAGTTAGACACTTGGTGGTGCGAGAGGGAAAGATCGCACAGAATTCCCACTGCTGCCTTGGGAAGTGGAGTTCCAGGTCGAGATACATCTGGAATTCCCTTCCTTCTAGGAACCTATAATGTCAGCCTGAAGTGCACTGTAGAGTTTCAATCTCGAAAAAAATCCTCTTAGGTATAGGAAGGGGCTGTTGCTATTTGATAGTTGCAGAAATCAAGTGATTGGCTTGGGCCACACAGCCGGCAGGTCTAGACTAGACCTGCACCTCCTCAGCCCCTAGACCCCTTTGTGTTCTCTCCAGTCTGCCCTCTGCCTTCGCTAGGTCCACCCTTCAGGCCCATCGGGAGATGTCCTGCTCCTTTATGGAAGTACCACCTCCTCAGTTGTCAGAGATGTGGAGAGCGCATAAACTTCTGGCCTCAGTTTCCTCATCTGTGAAGCAGGCTCCATGACCCCACCCTTGCAGGATTACTGAGGAGTGGAGAGGTTGGGGTGTGAGCACTGGCAGGTGGCAGGTCTCTATGGGCCCCTCCTGGCCCTGCCTCCTTCAGGGCACTCACAGCATTGTTGAATCTGTCAGACCTTGGATCCTTCTGGCCTCGG